CTTTCATAACTTCTTTATCTTTCAATCTTAAGATAACTTAAGCTTTCCTTAAGCTTAGTTATTATCTAATGATCAAAACCCAACCATAAATTTAGCAAATAACCAACTAACAAAGAAACTCACCTTTGCAAGCTTGGCTCTTCACGTTTGAAAGAAGATGAAGATGAAGAAGATAAGTCTAAAACTTATCTCTTCAATCATACCTCTCATATATTATAATACCCATTTATTAATATTTAATATTATCTTTGTTCAATGACCATTTTGCCCTTCATCTACTTTAATAATTACTAATAACTTTTAGGAATTATTTCCAAATAAATCATCGAATTATTCCATTCTTCTACTTAATTCATCAAATTCTTAAACTTTACAATTTAGCCACTAACCCCTAGTTTGGGATGTTACAGGGGTTGTCACACTTGTCACATGGTGGGAATAATCATATGGAAGAGATAGATTGTTTTGTTATGCACAGCCCATCCCATCTGAATGAAAATATACATACAATATAATCAAACCAAAACATACATACACAACAAATTTATATTTAACAATGTTCAAATAATGTACCCACAACAACGAAATTAATCCGAAGAAAAAGGGTTATTTCTAACGAAGTCCGGAATATTATTTTCCAAATAATGTACCCATAACAATGTTCAAATAATGTACCCACAACAATGTTTAATTGATTTGTTGTTTAATTTTCAATCTGCATTATGTTGAAGGTGAAAAAGACATGTTGAAGGTACACTTTTGCAACGCGAAAGTAAAATTCGCGTTGCGATTGTTTCGAAACTCAAATTCACAACGCGAAAGTCAAATTCGCATTGCGATTTTTGCATTGTGAATTTGATTTTCACGTTGCATATTTGACTACATAAAATATAACTGAAAAAGATAAAAGACAACAATCTGATAAGTGATAACAACTGAACATATCATAGCAATGTTCAAACTCAAGTTACTAATGCATGTCTAACTGAAAATGTATGTATTCACACATAAAATACACATAATACAACGTTTACATTTAAAAATCACCTAAGTTAATAAGTCCCAAAAGGTGAAGCTGGTTGTGATTGAGATTTTGATTTCCTTTTGCTTGACACCATATGAGCTTTGGATTTTGATGATGATCCATATTTTGGTAGAGGAAAAGATGATTGTGATGGCACTGGTGATCCACAGGTCAACCTTGTATGACCACTTTCCTTGCACCGACTACATGTTGATATCCTCTTCTCTTCACCCTTAGACGGTATATAGTCGTGATTTTTTTGTCGTCCAGGTAGCCTGTTGTCCATGACTGGTGGCAAAATTGTTTGTAAGTCATCTGGTATGTCTCACTCAGAAGGATGTGGAATAGGGTAGACAATCTCGGCATAAGTCTGTCGATATACTTCTGTAGTGTAGCAATCCATAGCGTATGCGCTTGAATCATCTTGGTTTAGATGAAGAGCAACTTTAATAACATGGCCATACGGATAACCAGATGTTTGCCATTTCATACAACTACACGTCTTTGCATTTAGATCGACAAGCTCATTTAAGTTATTATCCAATACTTCAAACAAGTTGTTTGAACATGGTTCAACTCTCCATGACGTTGACTTCACAACACGTTTCGTAATCTTTTTTTAGTCCATGGTGTAACACGACGTTCCAATGTTTCTGTAAATTTAAATAAATAATACTTAGTAAAATATATATTAAATATGATAAGTTACGAATTTAAAGAAATAATACCTGCATGGTTTCTTTTCTTGTAGTATCACTGTTGATTAGAGGCTCGAAAAAACTCCATTAACATAGTAATGGATAATTTTCAGGAATGACAACTTAGAGCGTTGATTGATTCTGCACTATTAGACGTCATGAAACCATATCTTGCTCCAAGTTGATATACTATTGACCATCTTTCAAACCCGACATCCTCTAGTGTTTGAGCACATTGAGGCAAAACACGTCTTAAAACATTTATATGCTTATTAAAATCCACTTCCCGATAAGCTTTTACAGCCTTCCAGTATGTCTATTTGTGATTTTTTATACCAGCAGACATTGATTTTAGATTTCTGTACAAATAAACACCACAAAGTCCATGAAAAGCATCTGGGAAACACCTTCTAGCAGCGTTGTCAATTGAGTTTGCCCTATCGGATATGATTATCAGATTGCTAATAGGCCTATACAATCCCTAAGATACCCCATAAACCATGTCCATAAAACAGAGGTTTCAGATTTGCCAACCCCGTAAGCTATTGGTAGTATCCCATTGTTAGCATCCATAGCTACTGCTAATAAGTTTACTCCAAGGTATCGACCTTTCAAATGTGTTTCGTCAACTATAATAACTGGGCACATGCAAGTAATAAATGAACGAACCTACAAAATAATATACACAAGAAATATAATCATTTAAATGTGAAATGCATGTAACTAACAAAATTGAGTCAACAAAATTATATTGATTTACTAACCGCATCACCAATGGCAATAAACAACAACTCAAAGCATCCATCTCTATATGATTTGATATGAGTTACCGACCCAGGATTTTTCAGCTTTAAATTGTGACAATAAGCCGACAATTGGCAAACGATGCTTCTGGTGACCCCCTCAACAATTCCAAGGCATAACATTTGGCTCTCCAAGCTTGAGAATATGAGATACTATTCTTGAACTGAGCATTCATGTCAGTCATAATTTCATGTCCCCGATATACCCTTCCATTCAAAAACATTAACTCAGCCAGAAAACCACCAACACCTTTTTGTTTGCCTGTCTATAGTAAGGAAAAACTTGGGTTCTTGAACATGTATGTTTATCAATAAAATTCCTAACTTGAAACATTTCACAATCTTCTATCCTCTTTGCAATCATACGCCACGTACAGTTTTTGTCAATCATACTCCTTGTTTCGAAACGATCTTTGCTTGATTTGTTAACTTTTAGTTGATAGCCATCTTCCACACATTTCGTATACAAAGCTATCTTCAAGTCTTCATTTGTATCAAAATAATCATTTTTCTTTATACGAATAACTTTTGTGTAACAATCAACTGCTATCTTTACCAACTCTTCTTCCGGTATCTGAAGTAATTCTGGCATATCCCAGTTATACTCCCGTGGCATTTTCTTCTTTTTATGTTCTTTGGGGACTTCTTCTTCAGGGTTATATGAATTACAGAATGAATGTTCAACATGTTCATTCACAGTCGTAACTTCCTCCTCATTATCATCAACAACGTCTTTCTCGGCAGCGGCTGTTTCATCATCAAAATTCGGGTATTGACCAATATCAAAATCATTACACTCAGGGTCTGTTTCTTCTTTTGAAACATCATCAAAATCTGAGTATTGACCAAGATCAAAGTCCGGGTATTGACCAAGATCAAATTTCGAATACTGACTAGTACTCATAATTTTTTCTGTTAGCTCATCATCGTCTAACTGGTCAATACGAAAATCGAAATTTGGTGCTGAAAGTTGATTGGGATTTGGATTAGGAAAAGGTTGTGGGTTTTGAGATTGTGTTTGGTATTGGAAATGTGGTGAAACAAAATTTTCTTAGTGATGAAATTATGGCGGAACCATTAAATTTTGAGGTTGATAATAATGTTGTACATTGTGAGCATCATAAACTGGGGTTGAAGAACTTAGTTGATTACTACCCGCTATTGACCCAATTTCACTACTTCTAGATTCAACAACATACAATGTAACATCATCTTCTTGCGAAACACTAATGTAAGCAACGAATCGTTCAACATCTTCATTGTCGGTTAACAAATAAACTTTACATTTTCTATGATAAGATAACATAAATCCACTTAGAGGCTCTAAATTCAATTTCTTTGCAACACGTAACATTAGAGTTTCATAAGTTAATTTTTTTAATGACAGTTTTAGTTGAAGATTCATGGGTAAATGCATATATCGTAAAACACCATGAACATTCTCCCATGACCCTCCAAAACACAAATCTATCCAAACATGATCAACATTAGATGATTTCATTCTACAAATTATAAATTAATTTACTAAACAAACGAGCTATAAACTACATATCATCACTAACTTAGAGAAGAACATACCTTTATTAAGTTGATAGTTGATAATTTGGGAGAGAAATCATTGTAAAATTATATAGAAATAAAATTATGTAAAAAAAATTAGAGATGGGGAAGGATGTCGTTGGATATAGGAACGGATGTCGCCGGAGATAGTGATAGATGGAGATGGAATGAGTTGCGATTTAGGGATTTAGGTTATGAGTTGTTGCTGCTGCGTAGTTATATACCCAAAATATTTGTGTTACGAAAATAAAACTTGTTGCGAAATTAAAACTCGTGTTGCGAATTCGAAAATCGAGTTGCGAATTTGAAATTCAGTGTTACGAATTTGTAAATCGTAACGCGAATTTGGAAATCACGTTGCGAATTTGGAAATCGCATTGCGAATTTGACTTCTGTGTTGCGATTTACAGATTCGCGTTGCGATTTACATATTCGCATTGCGAATTTGAAAACTGAGTTGCGAAATTAGAGTTCGCGTTGCGAATTTGTTGATCATTTTCGCAAATTCAAAAAAAAATTGGTTAAAATCGTATATTATAAAGCATTTTCGGTCACTGAAATTATTTTCTTTGATTACATTAACAATTATTCACCGACTAAATATATAAAATAATAAAAATAGAATTTGAAGGAAGTTTCTAAAATTATATTTAAAAAAGACTTCAAAAAATTATACCAAAAGAGTTCGTTAGGCAATTGCCGCAGCTAGCTAGCGTATAGAAGCATACGCGTGGTAGTAACGTGTGAGTTTGTCTCTCTCACCTACTACAGAATACAGCTAACACTTGCCCTCTCCTTCCCACAATATTTTTAGTCCATCGAATCACATTCTCAATTCATTTATGTTTTGCTTGTTTTTTAATTTAATAATGGAAGAATCCAAACCATATAATTCAACAAATCTGATAACGTTAAAAGAAGGTTTTAAGGGCGGGTAATTGGTCTACCAACTGGTAGTTAGCTTTTGAACTCTCTTAAGCAATGAACACCCACCTTATTTTGTTCATTTTTCCTTGAAACTACTTTCTAAATTCTCGTCACAGAAAATAATAAAAAACCCACCTTTACTTTCTGTCCATTTTCCTCTTTATTACACGTGAGATAATTGGGATTGACAAAATTAGGGAACTGTTTGTTCATAATAGTCTTCTTCCTTATTGTCATCATCGTAATCGTTTCTTAGAATAAAATATTGCAGTTGTTGTCGTCAATGTTTCTTTTTTATGTTTATTTGTATTGGGTGGAGGAATTATTTAATAATATTTCTTGGGTTCGTGTCAATGTTCAAATGATAGGGAAGGCTGGTTACATTTGGGATTATATCTCTTGGGATTGTGTTTTGTGACTTTTGTCTCATTGTTTCCAAAAGCTTCTTTCTTTTTGCTCCTCCCTTGAGGCGCAGCTTCTCTGTGGGGGGTTTTCAGGTATTTCACTTTAACCTTCTTTCTATCTTTTTCATCATAATTTATGCTCCTCATTTTCTTCTTCCTTTGCTTTTTTTTCCTATGACTTGTAATGGTTGAATTGATAGATGACTGTTGTACGTTGAAAGAAGTTGCTTTTATCTTTGGAGTTTGATCTTTAGTACCCTTAGTGCATGCTGCTGCTGAAAAGGAGATGGCTTCAAAGCTTCTGTTTTAGTGGTTTCTATGGTTCTTTTGGGTATTTGGATCATTTTCTTTATTCTGACTTTTTTTTCTCTCTTTCTTTTTGTGTTTGAATGTGATGTTTCTGTTTTGAGTACCAGTGGGTACTGAGTGATGATGTGATAGACTGATAATTGATGAAATTGAAAAGCCAAAACGAAAAAGTTATACACTTGTACCTTTTCCCCCTTTAAAACCTGGATTCACTGCTCTTAAATGATTATGGTTCACCTTTTGTTATCCATGATTATCTGCTTCTTTTTCCTGTGAAGAAATATGAATTTAGGCCTGCACATGATTTTGTTGTTTCTATAATGGAATTGATAATAGAAAATAGTAGTATCTAAAAATGGATTTAACTAGGGGATGATCTTCTTAAAAAGATTAAGTCTGGAGCTTAAATTTATATGTTTGTTTGGTGTACGTCCTTGTTGATTTTAATGAAGGGTATTTATGTTTAGCCTCAGGTTCTAATTCTTTTCTTTTGTTGATATTAAATTGTTTTTCTTAGCTTTTCATTCTGTTTGGAGGGAGAAGTGTCTGGATGCAATGCAAATGGGTTGGTACAGATTTGGGTTTTGTCCTGTTGAGGATTTCTCAAAATGGGTTTTGTCTAATCTCTAAAACGCTTTAGAATGTTGATAAAATTGTTGCTGCATTTCCATGCCATGGAACCTTAACTTCTTTGACAGAGATTACATGAACTAAGAACATTTCTTTGAATTCGTTGATTAAAAATGGACTTTGAAAGAACTCTGATATATTTTACTATGTTATTTGTTTGTTCAGGATCTGTTAGTTGATCGCTGTTTCATTATAAGGTGGCTATTTTTAGCAATCATTTAATTTGTGGAGACTGGTCATGCTTTATCATTCCTTTGCAGTTGAATATAAGGAAGCTAATTAGGGCGACTTATCATCCGAGTTTTAGCTGTCCAAAGGACAATTTATCAACTACTTGTAGTGGGGACTAAAAGCCAATCTCTTACCTTGTATCATCTTCCCACCCTCTCAACAACATATCCAAGCTAAGCCTCTTCTATGGGAGAATTCTCAGAGATGTTGTCTGGGACTTCGTTGTTGATAAAGAACTGTGTTCAAATTCCCACTATGGATGGTAGAAATGAAATGTCATTCATTCCACCTTCAGGTGATGCATTGCGATCCGTTGATGGACAGTTAAACATTACAACGAGCAATTCAATATGCAACCCTGTTGCAGGGAATCAGAGTACTCAATCCCAGGGACTGTCTCTTAGTCTTAGCTCGCAGATGCCATCCGACGTTTCTTTACCTTCATTGCAGTTTCCATACCAGGCTTGTTCTTCATTCTTTAGTGGTCATCTTCCAATTTCAGGAAACGCGAGAATTTCATGTGCTAATGATGAAAGCAAAACTAGTAAGGGGTTGAAAACTTCCTATGACCTGCAATGTGGCTATCTTGGAGACAACAATGATGCATTTGGAACAAATGCTTTTTCTAACCTTCAGGGCTCAATAAATCATAAACAGTTGTATTCTGATATATGTCAATTTCAGCCAGGCTTTGGAAGTACAATTTTGAACTCCAAATATCTCAAGGTGGCTCAAGAGTTGTTTAGCGAAGTGATTAATGTACAACAAGCTTTGAAACAGCCTCATTTAGATAAGAATGTGACCTCTCAAGCAAAATCATCCAATAGGACGTCATCCAAACCTGGGGAATCAGTTAACACGCCTTCTGAGATATCACCTACAAAACGACAAGATTTGCAGAACAAGAAGACAAAGCTCTTGTGCATGCTGGATGAGGTTAGCACGAGCTTCCATTTTTGTGCTTGTTTGATTTCACTTTCACTTTTCTTGGTGACTGCCGTTGTCACAGTTTTGAAACTATCATGTAAGCGTTTTAACTGAGTTGCTTTGAAGATTGTTTATAATCATGCTCTTGTTCTTGTTATAGGTTGATAGAAGATACAAACAATATTACCAACAAATGAAATTTGTGGTGTCTTCTTTCGATGTGGTAGCTGGCTGTGGGGCAGCTAAACCATACACTACACTTGCCCTACAGTCAATTTCCCGCCACTTCCGCAATTTGCGTGATGCAATCAGGGGCCAAATTCAATTGACCCAAAAAAGCCTTGGAGAGAATGATAATTCATCAAACAGTCAAGGAACAGCAATACCACGTCTACGCTATGTGGATCATCAGCTCAGACAACAAAGGGCATTTCAGCAACTTGATGTGATGCGAAATGCTTGGAGGCCTCAAAGAGGGCTTCCTGAAAGCTCTGTTTCGGTCCTGCGTGCTTGGCTTTTTGAACATTTTCTCCATCCGTATGTGCTTGGGTCCTTATTTTCTTGTGCTAATGCCAAGAAAATACAGTTCATTAACTTTCTGAACGTCTTTGACCAGGTACCCTAATGTTTCAGAGAAAATAATGCTTGCAAAACAGACAGGTCTGACCAGAAACCAGGTACAGAGATGAAAAATCTAATAATCAGACCTGTAAATTATTATTAGCCAAGTTTGCTTCTTGTATCATGAACATGTATGGTTAAGTTTGGTATCTACTTTTGGACTAACCGTACTGCTAAAAATGAAAAAGTACATACTAGTTAGCAGCTCAATTAGTTGTGATGTTGAATATTTTGTTCATTTATTCTTTTTTTTCTTTCCATTTATCTAGAGAGTTGCTGATTGTTGGTTTGGAGCAGGTCACAAACTGGTTCATCAATGGGCGGGTGCGACTTTGGAAGCCAATGATTGAGGAGATGTACAAAGAAGAGTTCAGTGAAATGGACTCAAATTTCAGATCTTCCTCAGAAAATGCAGCCAAAGCAGCAGGCGAAAATTCTTCAGCATCTGAGGATAGGGAAGAAGAATTGCAAGAGAGTATTACATCCAAAGTTGCTCATACTTGTAATGTTCAACCAGGACAAGTTCAACACCTGAAAGCTGATCATATCACTGATGTGGAGCTGAATAAGCCTATCTCAAGATCAATGTTCCAAAATATTGCTATAGGAATACAGGTCCATCTACCGGGATGAAATTAAAGGTCGACCGGATGAGTAACATGGAGAGTAATAACCCTTATCCAGATACAGTAATCCCATCCGGCCAGCACGGCCATGTTGCCCTTATAGCTGGTGATGCCATGTATGACCTAACGGAATTGAGTGGTTTCATGGCCGGCACTCAAGTTTCACTAGTTCTTGGTTTACAAAATCATAAAAATAACGTATTTACCATATCGGGGGAGACCGACATGAGAGGCAATCACAGGGTGGCTTCTTCAGTGGGGGCAGAGACAGTGGACTTCCATTTCATGGAAGCAGGAAATCAACAAGACAAGTTTAGCAATCCCCATATATTGCATGATTTTGTAGTTTGATGAATAATCTCCACCTCAACCTTTTTGGGTGGGAACACCTAATTGTTAGGAGACACGTCACACGTCACACGATACGATGACAAACCTTAAACAGAGAAAGCAACTCTTGAGATGTTACTTTGGGGTGGATTCTTGAGTGTTCTATGTTTGAATAGATGAGAAAGACTATGCATTGTCATGATAGAATATTCATAGATATGGGTATATGATATACGCATTTGTAACATACAAGTATATTGTTTTAGTAGGTATATACATTCTGTAAAAGATATGACGAGGAAAATTGATATATAGCTTAGCTTCTGTATTCTGATGAATAAAGACTTGTACAAAAGTAAGCTCAAGTGTGATGTTGATGTATGCTATTGTGGAAAAACATGTGATTAGAAAATAACTAGTACATAAACTGGAAAGAACGCAGTGAGATTTGGAAATATATTTTATACAAGTGTTATTGACAAATAAATATCGATTTCAATTCTGTCATATCTGCAGAGAATTGTTGAATAAACATAGTATTAAATTAGGATTGTGATTATGATATTACAATTTCGAATGTTACATATAACGTATAACGGTAATCACAGATGTTATCGTATAACTGTCCTTTCAACATTCCCATGCATCACTTATTATAACAACTAGCAGCAAAAAAGAGCTACACATTCCCTATGTTCTCCAGACTCGCAAGCATACATTCTTAAAACTGAAAGTGTGCAAAAGATGGACCACTTTTTCTCCTACTTTTTGAAGAATTATTACAGCAATACAAAGCAGCAGCAGCAACGCAAGAATTTAACATACTAAAGCTCTTACACGCTTTTGGTTGTTGTTTTATAGTCAGGGAAGGAGTTGGGGACCATTCTTTCCCTGTCATCTTCATCATTTCTTCTCACCTAATTATCTTTGCCTTTTTTATGAACTAGCAGAGATCTATGTATGTAGCTCTTCTAGCTTTTGGCTACTTTGTTTTTCCCGAGAAAAGTAAGATAAAAAGTCATTCGTTTCCTTTAAAAGCATGAGCATCTTACCCTTTGTTACTACTTACTACTATCAACAAAGGTATATTTGCACTTTTCCACCTTCAGATGGATGCTTTGTTGATTGCTTATTAATGACAACCGAGTTCTACTATCGTAATCAGCCCTTCAATTAATTGCAAATGGCCCATTAGTTTACTGATTCTGTGATCTTTTAGTGATCTTAGGTGCAATTGCGCAAAGCTCAGTACATATTATTCATTTCAGTTGTGTCAGCCATTACTTCAGGTGCCATGTTTAATTCTCAGCTACTTATATATTCGCTTTTTAATGCTTATCACAACGTGGAATGGTAATTTGTCTTTGGTTTTACTCTCTGTATGTATGGCTCAATAATTTTAGTCGACTCAGTGACTCGCTCTTCTTTCATAGGGTACATCCACTTCAATAAGGCTTCATAGTTAATTTTTGGTTTAAATATGTCAAAGGTCCTTAAATAATCTCAAAACTTTAAAACCTTTAGCTTCCATTACAGTAACTATGGTTTCCCGGGATCCAACAGTGTGTTACAGCATTTCATTGTCTCAGATTCTATTACTAGTCAAAACCAATTCGTAGGCTAACAATTTGATGCTTATGGCTCTACTTTGAGAGTCAACCACAACATATTTCCTCAGTCCCCTGGCTTGTTTCCCAGCATTCAATCTCTTGGTGAAAGAATGTCAAGATCAATGGACCTTCTTCCATCTCCCGTTGTCACTGAGGAATCCGAGGTTAGCCAGACTAGAAACCTGATGGATCTTCTTGGAGCAGCGAACGAGTCGAATTCGAACCACCAAAATCAAAGGCTCTCACTGTCACTCGGTTCTCACATGCTTGGTTCATCCTTGAATTCTAATTTTGCAAGTTCCAGTTACTTGTTTTCCGTGGCAAAAAATGCAAGTTGTGACTACCCTTTCACAGGTTACACACTTGCTTCATCTTCCACCGCATTACACCGACCACATAGGGCCGGATCTTTTGCCCGTGCTATCACGAATTCAAGGTATCTAAGGCCAACTCAGTCCCTTCTAGATGAACTTCTTAATGTTGGCTGCAAAAATATTGAGGAAAACCTTGTTGGGAAGTCATATCTAGGTGATATAGCAGGTGGTTCAAGACTTTCCTCTTAACTAAAAGCAGAATTCTGCAGTAACGAGATAGTATTGTCTGAAAAGCATGAGCTTCAAATAAGACTTTCAAACTTATTGGATTACTGGATGAGGTTGATCATAATCCTTTTTATATAACTTCACCTTGCTAATTATGTTTGAACTTGGTCCTAAATTATAACTTCATTATTGGTACATTTCTAGGTTGAAGTCAGATACGAGAAATACCACTAGCAAATGGAAGAAGTAGTTTCATCATCTGAATCACTTGCTGGTATAGGAGCAGCAAGGTCTTATACCGCTTTGGCACTTGAAGCAATGTCCAAAAATTTTGGTAATCTAAAAGATGCCATAATATTTCAAATAATTGTCATTAGAAGAAAGCTCTCGCTTAATTTGCCGAGAATAAACCGCGGATTATTGCAACTAAGCATATTTGATCAAGATTCTAGACAGACCGGACTGTCTCTACAACAGCATGGGATGACCCCAACCCCAAGCCAAAGGCAAGCTTGGCTATTCGAACACTTCCTTCACCTGTAAGCAAGCATGTATAAGTGATTAAGTCACATCCAAATTTATGTGACATTTGTTGAATGGTGTTCAACAGTTATCCAACATACTAGAAGAAGCTAATTTTGGTATGGAAAACAGACCTAACAAAGTTTTATCATTTGCATAAGTTCAGTTGATGTTTATTTTGTACCAAGTTATGGGTTTGATTATTGTGAATTAAGGTGTCAAACTGGTTTATAAAGGCTCTAGTTCGACTATGGAAGCCTATGATAGAAGAAATGTATCAAGAGGAGTTTGCAAAGTCTCCATAAGACTCTCATCCATCTTTAGCTTGCAGCACTATGGTGAAGGAAGGTGTTACAGATCAAACTGAGGATTGAAGCAGTGAGAAATTACAGATCAAATTAATCAGGTTGTTCAGTTTTCTTTTCGGGTTTTGATTTGAAACTAATTAGGCTCGCTTAAGTTTTTGAAGCTTAATACTGGAAACTTAGGGTATATTTAGTTCTAGAAAATATTTTCTGTTTCTATTTTCATAAAACAATTTTTATTTTCAGTTTTCCAAGTAGAAAACATGTTTGGCTAATAAAAATAAAAGTTACCAACAACCAGTTGTTCTATTGGGATGAGACACTAGGTCCCTTAAGCAATGTCAGGGGTTCGAATCCTGGCGTTTGCGAATGGAGCAAACTAGGTTGGGAGGGTCGTCCTCGCCTCTGCAATACCCGATCTGGATTAGTCGATCAATAAATCAGATACCAGTGATTAATTCAAAAACAAAAAAATATAAACATTTTTGGTTAATAAAAATATATTTTTGTGTTTGGGCAATAAACAATCTTTTTCTTCATAAAAAATAATAATTGAAACTTACTATCTGTGTTATTGCCCAAGCACAAAAATATACTAATAGACATCTAAACAGAAATCAATCTATAATTGAATATAGCTTAATTCAAAAATCAATAACGAATATAATATACAAGTTACAAGAATTAACATACAAAAAATTGCATAAGAATAATAATAAATTTCACATGAAGTTAGTTATTTACCTGGTAAATATAAATATATCAGATCAACAGTTAACTTGCAATTTATGAGCTTTAAGATAATTGATATTTAAATAGTAAAAGAAAAAGTTAAAAAATTAAAGAAATATACTTTTATTAGGAGTTGAAGTTATACTAAAGCAAAATAAAATGTGAATTAAATTGAAAGATATTATTAGAAACTTAACTCGTATAATTAAATTAAAAAACAATTATACACATATTTTAATTCCATTCGATGCAAAGAACAATTAATAGGCAGAAAATAATTCAATTCTTTTAAACTCAAGTGTTAGTGACCCTGAAAGATAGTAATCGCTTCCGATGCAAAGAACAATTTTACATAAATTTTGATTATTGTTTAAGTCTAGTATGATTGTAACGCTTAAAACATATAATTTTTTTTTTGAGAAAAGCATTACCTTAAAGTAAGAATTGTATAAAGATTCTCCAATTATATTATAAATTTTAGCAAAACAAATATAAACATCAATGTTGTAGAAAAATCATGAAAGTACAAGTTGTGAGTGATAAGAGGAACGCAAGCTTTGAAGGTTTTAGAGTCGATTATGCCATTAAAGCCTAGATTTTGCAAAACATTGATGTTCTTTTGATTAATTGCAGAGATAAACATAGATGTTTTATTTGCTTTATAAGTTAAATCGTGAAACCCATAATTTTTTATTTTTTAAATTTTGAAAATAATTTTATAAGAAAACACTGAAAATTATATTTATATGTTTTTAACTTATTTTTACTTTTATTTTTTAAAATATTTTTTTAATTTTACCACCAAACGTATTTTTTCAACGTTTTCTACTTTCTAAGAAAATGAAAATAACATATATTTCTTGAAACCAAACGGACTGTTAATTTTGCTCTAATATTTTTATTATTTCAACAGTTGAATTCAGTTTTGGCCGTTAAGTTTTAGTGTAAACTATACTGGTGATCCTTGAACTATTAGGGTACTTATATTTTAATCACCGAACTTTTAAAATTTGCATGAAGTCGTTAAACTTTACTATATTTATTATTATTATTATTGATATTGTAATAGATATTATAAATATATTCTTACAATCTTTTAAATTTATGTTATAATTAATATATTTTCATAAAATAAATATAATTAATTTCAGTCGTAGCTAAACTTAAATATTATTTATTCATTTTATTTTATAATATATCAAATTCAAAAACTAATATATATTTTAATTAATGGTACAAGTTATGTATAGCATTTGCAAAGGATGAACAACTTCTTGTTGTCAATCCTTGCAATGTGTATAATAATGATGATCCCTAGTTCCCTACATCATACCTTGGGGATATTCCCTAATTTTATTTTTAATTATTTTTGTACCTAGACTTGATATAAAAAAATGAAAGTTGTTTCAGTTATGGTGTTGATAGGAGAGATCGAAGGTAGATGATGAAGAATGAATTAGAATTAGTTATCGTGTAATGAAATTCTATAGTTTTGTATCTTTATCAATGAATGTAATTTCATTATAATCAAAGTTTTTGAAAAATTAAATCATCTTATTTTTAATGAGATTTTAGCATAATTTAATTTGTTTTGATAGATTTTTTATGGGTT